TCTATATTGTTGAATTTGTATAATTCAGAGGTATCATTTATAATGTTTTGCATTATATTTGCACTTTCATAGTGCCAGGTTGTATCATCCATTAAAGCTAATGGTGGAATTGTTATTGGAGAAGATGTTGTATTTGTTATGATATCAATAGGGGATTGACATGAAATTTTTAATAAGTAGTTTTTGTATTTTTTTTTGAATAAAGTAGAGTATAGGGTCATAGTAGATTTTTCATAGAAGAGGTGAATATGTTTCATCTTGTTCAATTCCAGAATTAATTGGTATTTGTGAAGTAAGGCCATAAGTAGTAATTACTTTAGCAAATTGATGAGAGTGTAGTTCTGTGATTAGGTTAATTCCTATTAATAGAATTCTTATTCTTTTACAAGTATCTTGAAGTCTTGTTATATTAATTTTATCAAAAGTCTTGGACATACTTGAAAGAGAATCCAGGCTTTTTTGTTAGTAGTTTTATAATGTTTAATTGTGTTATATAAAATTTGTATAGGAAGATGTATAAAGGAGTTTTTTGAAGCTGCGAAGTTTAGATTTGATAAAAGATTATTATAAGAAATGATGTTATCTAATCGCTTTGTAAATATTTTGATAAAAGTTTTTCTGAAAGGTTCTATTATAGAAATTGAATAAACTTGATTTAATGTATAGTCCCAATTTGATTTTTTGAAGATTAGAAAAATATTAGAAGATTTTCAGTCTGAGGGGATTTTTTGAAGATAAAAACATTTATTTAGAAAATGTTGAAAAATGTTTTGTGCTTTGAAGCTAGCATATTTTATATATTCATAACAGGTTTCCAAGAGACCTGCTGCTTTTTGATTAGGTAAGTTGGAGATAATGTTTTGCCATTCTTGTTCAGTAATTTCATGAATAAGATTTTGGTAGTGAATTTCAAATTTAGGATGTGGTTTATAGAAAGAATAGAAGTCAGATGTTAAAGGAATATTTTTAAGAGGTTTGATTTTGAAGTATTCAGTAAAATGAAGTTTAATTGCATTTAGTATTTCATTATGTTCTGTAAGAAGGTTATTGTTAAGAAGTAGTCTATCTATATGAATGTTATTATATTTTTCTAGTATTTTTTTATAGAAAAGTTTAGGTGTTTCTTTGAAGGATTTGTTATGTTCTTCTATTTTTTTTTGATTTCATCATAGATTAATTGTTGATATTGGTGGTTAAGTGCAGTTTTAATAGTTTGAAATTCTTTTTAAACTTGGATTAGTGAGGCTGATGATGTTTGGAATATGCAATCTGAATATTTGGTTTGATAGTTGGTAAGTGATGTATTAAAATTAATTGAGTTTATATGATTTTTAAGGAATTGGATTTCTTTGTAACAGAAATAAAGTGGTGAATGTTTTAGTGATAGGGAGTCATGAATTTCTTTAATTATTTTAATTTTTTTGAAAAGAATATGTTTAGTAAAGGCTTTGATTAATGCTTTGTAAATTTTATTTTATATAGTATTGAGTTAATTTTGGTTAAAGATTGTAGAGATTATTGAAAATAAATGCTGAAGATTTTTGGTAGTTTGTTCATTGTAATTTTCAAGATTTTCTTTAGTGTAGTTTTTCTAGAGAAAAGCTTTACATTTATGTTGTTTATGAGGTTTGGGTTTATTGATTATAATGAAGATTTTAAAAGTTATTATTTGATGATCAGATTCAATTGTACCAATAAGAAGGATTTCTGCATAGTTGATATTAGTGATAAATAAGTTAGTTCATATTTGATCGATTTAGCTTTGTATATTGTTTTGACTAAAAGTGAAGTTTGATGTATTAGGATAGAAGATGCAATAGATGTCCTTAAATTGAAAGCTAATTAAGTATTGAATAATTTAGCTTTCTGGGATTGATAATTTTTTTTAGTGAAAATCTGTTAATTCTCAGATTTGGAACACTATTTAAATCTTCCATAATAATTAATTTATATTTGTTATTTTGGATAAGAGAAATTAGTTGCTTGTTTTTTGTTAATCAATTTTTTCAAATTGAAATTGTATTTATTGAAAAATTTTTAGAACCAGGTTTCATAGATTTGGATATAAGATTTAAGTGAAAGAATTTTGAAGTTATCTTCAAATTTTTTAGCAGAAATGTTTAATGTGACTTTAATGTTGAATATATTGTTATTTTGAATATCAAATGATAGCTTATCTGCAATATAATCTATATTAAAATTTAAAGTAAAGTGTAAAGGTTTGATGTTGAGTTTTTTCATAAATTTTTCAAAGTTGATAGTTTTGTAGGTATAATTTAGGTATAAGTGTAAGCATGCCATATTAATGGCAACTATTTTTCTGTTGTTTGTTGAATTATTAGAATTATATTAAAGAGGTAAAGCTAAGAAATATATTTTTAAATATTTAGATTTTTTAGTTATATTACAAGTTTTTTTTTATTGTTATTAAAGAATATTGTATATTAGCCAATATGTTTACTCTTAGTACCAAAGCACCAAATATCTTAAATTTTAACTAATTTTTTAAAAACTATATAGGTTCTTGTAGAATCACTATTTATAAAAAAAAACTAAAAAAATAAGAACTATTTCAGATAAATATAAATCTACTAAATGTATTACTATAAAACTTAGGACTTATTTAGTAACTTATTTTTTTCTTCTTCTTTAACAATCACAATTGTTAAATATATATATAGATCCTTTTACATCTAATTCATTGCAGAAAATAACAAAATCTATAAATTCAATACTAAAGCTGATGAAACTACATCTAATAAGCAAAATAAAAAATTTTAACTAGCATTAAAAAATTTACATTACATGTCCTACTATCTTCCACATCTACTATCTATATGCACTCAAGAATTCTGTATCAGCTTTTGTCGATCATTCATTAGGTGATAAATAATCATGTATGTACATTGATATTTATGCATATTTGTGTAACAGTTTATATAAATTTATACCATACTGTAGTTCTATATACCAGAATACTATACAAGAGTTTTTTTAAGAACTTTAAGCAATATTTCTTGATAAATACTTAATTAATTTTAGTAAATTTTTTAATTTTAATTATACAAGTTAATAGAATTAAAATAAATAAAAAAATTATTGAATTTAGTTAGATAGTCATTGAGAAAACTTCAATTAAAGTTAAAAAAAAGGTTAAAAATCTTTGAAAAATCAAAGCCATAATAAAGTTTCTTTTTTCAACTTTAATGAAGATTTCTCAACATATACCTAACCAAAATTGATGAAATTTTTTTCATTTTAATTCTATATGCTTGTAGAATCAAAATAAAAAAAGTTTTTCAAACTTGGTTATGTAGTTATTGAGAAATATTTTATTTATTGTTTAAAAAATAATTTGCTCAAGCTTCTTTTTTATAAGCAACAAAACTTTAAGCAAAGTTTTCTCGATGAATATCCAACCAAACTCTATGAGTTTTTTTTTATTTTAATTATACAAGACTACAGAATTAAAATAAAAAAAAATTATAGAATTTGGTTATATATGCATTGAGAAACCTTCGCTTAAAGTTTTAGTACCTATAAAAAAGAAACTGCAAAAAATTTTTTTTTTAAACAATAAATAAATATTTCTTAGTGATTATATAACCAAATTTCAATAATTTCATTTCTACAAACATGCGGAATTATAATAAAAATTTTTTCATTGAATTGATTATGTATTCACCAAGAAATCTTAGTTTAAAGTTAAAATGGAATTTAAGTATAATTATTATTTAACAATATAATATTTTATGTATTCTTATTCATAAGTACACATTCTATAAGCACACATTTTATAAGCACACATTTCCTAAACAATATACACTTAGTTAATACTCGCATATAAAATGCATATAATTATATAGCAACCATTACATCAAATTATTATTATTTAATTATATATAAGTTTAGATATATACTTATATATATTATAAAATCAGCAATTACAGAAACTACTTTGAGTTATAATGCTAGTTACATTTATCAATTCATTTGATTTTGGCTAATATTTTAACTAAAATTATGCTTCTTTTTGCTAACTACCTAAACCTTAAATGCTGGAATAATATGCAGGTTAATATTCTCTTTAGAATTTTTTGCACCTAGCCCACTGTTTTTGCACTTAACTGACTCAACTTGGACATGAATTTTTGCATCACTTTTTACATGTGCAAGTAGATCATTATTAGGCTTTATATTATGAAGAAAGGAAGTTAGCACTAGAATGGACTTGGCTTTTGCTGCATTATATCACTCAGCTAATTTCTTAAAAGAAGATTGAAGTTGTGAACCACTATTTTTATAATCAGTCTTGATTGTTACAAGAAATGATTCAAATAATTCCAGATTATGTCTTAATCAAAACAATATATTTAGATAGTGTTAATATATACTGTATAAATATATATAATAAAGTAAACTCACAATTCAGTTTTAGTAGTTTGGCTTATATCCATATTAACTTCAGCATTAGCCATTTCCAATTTATGTGTATTTTTGAATACATTATATAAAACTTTAGAATAGTTATAATTTTTACATTGACTATAATTTGTTTGAGAATGTAATAATGTGTAAAAAGAATCATCAGCTACAACTCCTAAATTATATATTTAAAATTATTTATTATAGATATTATTTATATATATAAATTAATTTTTAAAAACTATTTATATATTTAATTAATTAAAAAAATGCTTACCACATGCAATATAAGTAAAACATGCACGATTATTAGGTGTTAGTGATAGAAGAAAATTTAAAGATCCAATATGATATTTTGTGACCACTACTCTCTGGTGTTTACATGGTGCTTCCAATAGCTTTACAAAATATGTACATGTACAGAATTCAGTATTGACTATATAAAATAAGTCAGTGACTTTTTTCTGACTAGTAATTAAAAATTCTGTGGTTAACTCAGTTTGTAGAATCTTTGTAGCATTAATTGCATCCCAATCAGGGCACAAAAACCTTCTAGCAATTTGAAGATGATCAGAATGACTATGTGCTATTCCTAGCAACTAACACTTATAGTACTGTTCCATATTTGTAATGATAAACTAAAACACCTAGACAATATTGTATACTTTAGTGCATGCAAATATAATGTTCTTTAATAATCCGAAGCTATGTTTGATATAGTTGTTGGTATTATTACTACATGTAAAAAGCCCAGAATGGAAAAGCAATGCCCAAAATTGTTGTCTGCTCCAAAGTAACTAAAAATGTTTTTGTAATTGTGAATATATATAATAGTAATTAGTCTTTAACTTATTATAATATTCTATTATTTCAATTTCTATTTGAGTATATAGAATTTTTCTCATAGTTTTCATAATATGCATTTTATGATTTTTATCTATACAATGCTTCAAATTATATAACCAACACCAGAATGCTTGTAGAATATGAAATATATATAATAAGCATTTTGCTTGTAGCCAACAGTACTCTAATATGTTGTATTCACTAGCTGAATTATCTGTTAAAAAAATCATTGGTCCAATATTAGGTCTATGTCCAAAAAATGCATATTGTGATAGAAGTGTTTTTAAAAGATTCATTCTCTTTTTAAGCATTAATTCTAATTCATCAGATGTTACTAGAAAACCAAGAAGCAATGCCCCTGCAATACAACTTGTATAGAATAAGGTAATTGACATATTTAATAGCTCAAAAGATGCTGATGCATCCACATAACAAATTTTATCTGATTGCTAAATTTTTTTATAAACACAGTCCATTAAATTTGTAACTATGCAAAAGATAAAGGCTTTTTCTTCTTGAGAATTATATTCTTGAAATATTGCATGCCTTTTTTCTGAACTATTATAATTAATGACTTCATTTGTTAATCATTGAAACATTGTAATACTTTTTTTTTCACCAAGATATTTATTATGATACTGTTTGAATAAATTTAGAACATAACCATAATTAGGGTTTTGTGCATGGTCAGCTAATGATAAAATAAGATTTTGATTATTTTCTGCATTTAAATATAGACTATCTTTATAAGTGTATAAGGTTGTTTCTGATAAGTGTCCATTAGCAAATAAATTTATATATTTTTTGTGAACTTCTTCTTTGAGATGTCTGAAACTAAAAGATTTTGTAGAATAAATAACATAATTATATGTAAATTTGAGATTAATTTCAAGTAAATAAAGTGTTTAAAAACATCATCATTCTAGTCTAAGATGAATAGTAGCTGTACACTTAATATTTCTAATTTGCATTGAATTAGGCTTTTTTAATATAGGATTTTCTTGTTTTTGTCTTATAGCATCACTATAGATACAATGTCTCATTTCACAAAATATAACCTTTTTTTTCTTAAGTTAATAGCCTTTAGTTTGTGGCATTGTTGTTTTTATAATTTTCTCAAACTTAGTAAACCATTTATATGTGCCTTTACTTGTATTAATATTTACAAAAAAGTTAACTTCAAAATGATCAACTGAAAACCTTTTCATTGTAATATAAGCAGAAAGTTAATGAACTTCAAAGATAAAATAATTGTAGCTTAACAGAAGTATAGCTGCAATATATTCGGCAATATAGTATTTGTTTCACATGATATATTTGTATTAAGTAGTAGTTCTAAAATCTCACTTAAATTCATGATATATTGTGTATTATTTTAATGTATTACTAAAAAAATAAAATGTATAAATTTAGAAAAATAATGTATATAGATTTTAGAAAGAAAACAGGTTTAAAGAGAAAAAAAGCATATATAAATCATGTTAATATATATATAGATATCTTGGAACAAGTATGAAAGTTTTTATTTATTTTTACTTTAATATTCTTTAAATTAATTACATCATTAATATATCATTTATATATCATTTACTTCTTTAATATGATTTATATATATTACATGAGTATGAACCTAATACCATAATATAATAATAAAAAATAAGTTATATTAAAACATGATTATGTTATAAATTTATTTTTTATTCAATTTAAATATAATCAATTGATCGATTAGTAGCAGTTCAACTATTAAAAAAAAGGTTTTTATATTAATACAATTTTTTATATCAAATCTATTTTTTATAAAAGGAAAAATTCCAGATTGAAATTTATCAAAAATGATTAACCATAAAAATTTAGAGGTTTTTTCAACTTTACAGCTGTTTTTATTATTTCTGAAACACCTATAAAAAAATTAACTGAAAAATTTTTCAGCTGGTAATTTTTTCAGCATAATAAATTTAATAAAAATTAATATAATACTGTAATATATACATAATTTAAAATCAGGTGCCTAATATAAATAAAAAAATTATGCACATTTCTTGTTGAATTCAAAAAATATGATATTTTCAAACCACATTCACTGGCAAATTATTGAAAAAATTAGAAGGCCTATTAACTCGAAAAATTGCAAAACACTTAGATATTAGCAGGTTTTCTATAAGTTGGGTTCTTGTGCATTTTCAAAGTATGGTTATATTGAAAAACTTCAATCACTTTCAGGAAAACTATATTCTTTAAACATGAATGATATAAATTATCTTCAAGTTTTAATAAAAGAAAAATCTAACTATACTTGTATAAATTACAATCTGAGATAGAACTTTAGTTGGAACATAACATTTCATCTAACTTTTTATATAGTTTTCAAATTAGTCATAATATACTAAAATAATAAATTCTAAATAATAAAATATTAATTACAGTTAATTTTAAAAAAAACTTATCAAATAAATATTTAAATATTTTGTATATATTATATCTTACTTGTAAAAAGTTCTTTCAAATTAATAGCTCCTAATTCAGATTCCTTTGTGTTAATAGCTCCTTATTCAGGTTTCTTTGTATTAATAATATCCAATTCAGGATCTTTTTTACTATTAATTTTAATTTCTGAATCAGTTGTAGTTACTTTATACAAGTCAGATAACTCAAAAGTATTTGCCATAAATAATAAAGATTTTAGAGAATCTTTAATTGTTAGATCTACTGCTTCACTTTGATTGTATTGATCATAATTTTTAGTGCATTTTTGACACATATTAATTAAGTCTTAATTTTTTGGAATTTTGACTTTAGTTGAATTTTTAGTCCAATTAACGAATTCTTAATCATATTTAACTTTTTTAATACTAGCACCTATTCATGTAAAATATTTACTATAAAAGCTAATTTTATATCCTGAGTCTTTTTTAGATTTTTTGTCAAGTTTTATTAGTTGACAACAATCTTTTTCATAAACTTTCACACAAATTAAATACACTAAATATATTGGGCAAGCATTCAAATGAAATTTTAATAATATTGACATTACTGCATTATAATAATAAAATTTTTTTTTTTTTTTGGTATTAAGATGACCTCTTTGGTTTTTTGACTTTTATTAATCACTTATCGGTATTGTGGTTCAATGAACTACTACAGGA